TCATTGACTTCCATGGTAGTTGGGAGGATCATATTCCACTGTTAGAGTTCGCTTATAACAATAGTTATCAAGCGACGATCGGTATGGCCCCGTATGAAGCATTGTATGGGAGACCTTGTAGATCACCGATATGTTGGGTCGAGCCGGAGGATAGCTTGATGCTTGGGCCCGAGCTAGTGAAGCAGACCACTGAGAAGGTAGCTTTGATCAGGGAGTGGATTTTAGCCGCTCAGAGTCGGCAGAAGAGCTATGCAGATAAGAGGCGAAGACCCCTAGATTTTCAGGTTGGAGATTTGGTTATGCTTAAGGTATCACCTATGAAAGGCGTACAGCGATTCGGTAGGCGAGGGAAGCTTGCACCGAGATATATTGGGCCTTTTCAGATCCTAGAGCGCATTGGAGCTGTGTCATACAGACTAGATCTTCCGGCATCGATGTCTAGTATACACAACGTGTTCCATATTTCTATGCTTAAGAAGCACTTGCATGATGAGGAGCAGCAGCGAGTATTGGATGCACCGGAGATCGAGCTTCAGGATGATTTGACTACTATTGAGATTCCGGTTCGTATTCTTGCTAGAGAAGTCAAGAGACTCAGGAACAAGGTGATTCCATTGGTGAAAGTTCAATGGAACAGAAGTGGAGTTGAGGAAGCTTCTTAGGAGCGCGAGGAGGACATGCGACGCGACTACCCACACTTGTTCGAGAAGGTAAAACTAACTAAAATATTTATTATATGACTTCTTACTTGTATATTTATATCTATATATGTTGATACTTATATTTAACACTAGAATGAGGGTATTTTTACTTAATTCTTAACCTTACGGAACACATGGTATATATATGGGGGGTTCCTTGTTTGGATTTTTCGCCCGACGTACTAGTTCCGTTAGATTTGGGGTTAAGTAAGAATATTATCATTTTAGATCGTTAAGTATGAATGTCGATATGTGCTAACTAGCATTTACTATTGCGAAATGTATATGTTTGCGGGTTAGATTAGACCCTTGTCATGTTTTCAAGTATCTTTATGAATTAGATGTGATTTCCTGAATTTCGAGGACGAAATTCTTTTAAGGGGGGAAGAATGTAAGACCCCGTAGATTTTTGAGTATGTATATGTACGTCAGTAATGAGGTTGAGTGTGCTAGATTTCAATCATATGCAGCAGAGTCATAGTATGCAGTTTCTAGTCCATGAGTCGACCCATGACTGTCATGAGTCGACTCACGAAATCGAGTCCTATTGTCATTTAGTTTCTGTTGAGTCAACTCATCATATTATAAGTCGACCCATGAGTCATGAGTCGACCCATGACTGTCATGAGTCGACTCATCGGGATCTTTTTGGTTTTTCTGGGTCGGGTCTGTTGGGTTTCGGGTCGGGTTTTACCCACTCGTATATATTCCCCTTTACCCGAAAACACTTCATTTTCATCAGTTCTCCCCAGAAACCCTAGAACTCTCTCTCTCCTCTCTAAAACCCTAGGCGTTCTTGGTGATTTTGGGGCGTTTCAAGGGATTTTTCGGCAGTTTCTTTTGGGTTGCAGCGAAGGGGATTGTTCATCATCACTTCTAAGGCGAGTAACATCTCGCCCAACCCTTCTCCCATGTTTTTAATAATTTATAACTGTTTTACATAAGTTTTATTGAGCCTAAGACTTATTTTTCTAGTATAAATCAATATCCTTGTTAGGGTAAATGCTAGAAATCATGTATTTCGGATTTTGAATCCCCACCAACAAGCTTTTGATGAAAACCCAGATCTGGAATTTTATTTAAAGAAATAAAAGATGAGTTTTGCTTTTGATTAAATGCTTTCTCTCATGTTTAGGTGTTAAAAGTTAGGTCTAACATGCTAGTGTTCGTTTCTCATGCTACATATGAATTTATCACTGCCCTATAGTCTAGAATTGATAGTTATGGAGGTGAAGATCAGTTTAGTGGGAGTATGGAACGAGATGGACGAGTTGCAGGTGTGAAATATCCAGTTATCAGCCCGTGAGTCGACCCATGACAGTCATGAGTCGACTCATCAGGTTGAGTCGACCCATGACTGTCATGAGTCGACTCATAAAATCTATCCCTGTTATTCATTTGTGTTCTGCTGAGTCGACCCATAAATGAGCACGAGTTGACTCATCACAGTATTTTCCAGTTTCGTTTGTGTTGCTGTTTAACCATCTGCTGTATACCTATAAATGATCATATATACATATGTCCGAGGATAGTAGACATTCTTGAACTTAGGGTGTTGCATTGCTTATTGGATATTTAATTACAGTGATCTTGACTTTTCCCTGTACCTGTAAGATGACAATTGTGGCATAGGCTTAGATCATCATAGCAGGGCACGTACAGGAATAAGACGTGTATATCCTTCTATGCACAGTCCTCGTGTTGGACTATAATCCATTACGGAATAAGACGTGTATATCCTTCTATGCACAGTCCTCGTGTTGGACTATAATCCATTACAAGTCCTCGTGCTGGACTATAATCCATTAGAGTCCTCGTGTTGGACTATAATCCATTTCAAACATGTTTCTTTTTTTTATTTTTGCTAAACCTTGAGCACGTTATTCAACCAAGTTGGGTACACGACATATCATATGAGTCTGGGACATGATTGCTACCTAGGCTGGACATGACATTTATTGTAGTCTTGACATGTTTCAATTGTATCGGTAGAGATGGGTTCTGTTTTCTTTTCCTTTATTGTTTTCTTATGCTAAACCTCAGGTTTAGTGTTTAGGGATTTACAATTTGAAATACAAGGTATATACATGAGGGTTTCCTTGTTTGGATTATTTCGCTCGACGTACCTATGCTCGGATTGTATTTCCCTAAGTACTAAAACCCACTATTGTTAGCATAAGTGATTTTATATTATTATGTATTAACTGTATTTTCTTATACAACGAGCCCTATCCTTTGGGGTTATTTGTGGTGTTGCTCGCTAGCGCTTTGACGCTCGTTGTCCCTCCCCCTTTCAGGTAACGAGCCAGGAGCCCGGAGAGTCGCAGGTTGATGGCGATGTACTTTAGCTTCAGCCGTCTTTTGGTTATATTTTCTTTTGAGCACCACTGTAGATTTTTGTGTAGACTTGTGAGAGTCTTATTCTAGAAGTTGTAAAGGCAGTGTGCCTTATTTCCTCTTGTCAGACATTTTGTATTTTGAGACTTGTTGAGAAATCTAGTTCATTTACTTCAGACATTTATTTGTATTCCAGTATATTAGATGACGAGATATTAATTTGATCTCTATTACTTCATCAGTTGATTCTTGTATAACATTTTACTTGCTTTGTACTACACCTGTTGTTGATTCCACTAGAGAGATAGAAATTATGATGGTGAAACATGTTATTGCACGGGGTGGTGCATGGCAGGTTTGACATTTCTGGTTTCACCTCGGACTGCAGCCTTGTGTGAACCCAGTGGCGTCACAGAAATTACATTCAAAAAATAGATGGCTAAGACTTTTCATGGCTGAGGTAGAACATAGAATAGTTAGTTTGAATCATTCGCCTCCTAAGCAATTTGTCCTGAGTAAGTAAACGATCTAGAACTACTAGCCACAAAACAAATAAGTGCTTAGGATAATTCATTTCCTCCCAAACTGTGTCATACCATGACACATTGTTGGATACAGGGGAGAAATTTGAATTCTCGTAACAAGAGTGAATTAAGCGCTTCAAGCTATCTTCCCCTCCACAATGAGCAATGGCTCTATCTCTAAATTTTAGCAGTTGCTTCCACATCCATGAATCCTCAGCTCTTGCATTTACATGTCATATATCCTTGTACTTCAGATATGTACAATGAACCCATTTTATCCATAACAGTTCCTTGTTAATGTGAATGTACCAGAGTAGTCTGAGACCAGAGGTAATATTCCATGTTAATGCTGAGTAAATCCCAAGCTCCCCTTGTTTTTACCCAAGCATATCCTATCCCATGAAACAAGTGGAACTTTTGAAGCATTTTCAGATTTCCCCCATAAGAAACTCCTATACAGTTCATCAATTTTCTATAGAACTCTTACCGGAAGTATGTAACTAGATGTCCAAAAATTTGAACTCAAAATGACACTTTTGATTAGCTGCAATTTGCCAGCATATGATAGATGTCTATGCTTCATCTAGTTTTAGAGTTGCACTAATATTTTATTAATGAGAGGATTACGGCCTATGAATGACAATATTTTACATATAAGAGGTACTCCAAGGTATTTGATTGACATAACACCCTCAGAAAAGCCCAGATGATTATAAATGGAAGCCTTGGCAGATTCTTCAACCCCCTAACAGAAAATAGTGCATTTATTAGGATTAGCTTCAAGACCAGTTACTGCGCTGAAATCTTGCAAACATTGATAAAGCTTTTGCACAGAACAAAGGTCACCCCTCCTCAATAGAAGAAGATCATCAACAAAGATTAAATGATTTATCTTGAATTTTTCACATTTAGGATGATACCTAAATTTCTTGTCATGTTTCAACATATATCCCACCTCCTACAGAGATATTCTATCCCCCCAATAAATAAATAAGGGGAGAGGGGATCACCCGACCTTAATCCTATCTCACCCTTAAAATATCCATGAAGATTGCCATTTAGAGAAATGAAAATTTTAGGGGAAGATATGCATGTCATAATCCAATCAGTCATCATGCTGGGGAAGCCCATGCTATGCTCTGTTGCAAGAAACTTCAACTAATAGTATCAAATGCTTTTTCAATATCAATGTTAAGCATAACCCTAGGTGACAGATGTTTTCTTCCGTAGTTCTTAACATGCTCATGAGCTCCAAGAATGTTGCTGGAAATTTGTTTTAACTTTCACAAAAGCACTTTGTACTTCACTCACAAGAAATCTCGTAACTGATGTAGGTGGAAATTTTGACTATTAAGGAGTTGCTTGAACAAGCAAACTTCTCCTTAAAATGATCAATTGCAGTCTACAAATTTCAGCTGAACAATTAAATCGGCCACCGGAAAACAAACTCAAAATTAACCATTCAAAAGTTCTAGTCAGCCATTTGCTATACTCAAGGCAACAACTGCAACAACAAACCAAAACGCAATACACATAATATACACACCTACACACTAAAAACTTCAAACTCCACATCTTAGACCCTGTAACCTAAATACTCAATTTGCTCCACCAATTCATTCACATCTTCACTCCATTCACTAGGCTCTACAGCCATTTCCCCTACCTCCCCAACAACTATCCCCGACGATTCTCCCTCCTCAATACTCAACAACTCATCCCATATAACCTCCTCTGTCGCTTCACTCCCCTCAGTTTCGTCGGAAGTGTAGCTCCCAGGCAATCTCCTCTTCTTTCCACTGCAACTCACGTTCAGTAGTTGCTGAATGAACATAGGACTTGGACTTGTCATCGATTTCGTAAGGAATGCCATCGTATGCCTCTGTTTTCTCTCTGTACACTGTATTCTTTCTTCCATTTGGATCAGCTGAGCCTTAGAGCTCTGCTGTTGGCTACGGAGGTTGAGGATTTCGAGCATTATGGTGTTTCGATCTAGCATGAGTCTCTGTAGCTCTGATTCGTGCTCGGAATGCAATAGTTCGAGGTTTTGATTTGAGTTTTGCGTTGTGATGCGCCTTCGCTTGATGTTCTTGAGGAGGTGTTTTTGGCCTCCTAAGAAATCTTCGTTCGCGAATTCCCATCGATCTGGATCAATCTTTCGAAATCCCTGTAAAAAACGCCAATCAAAAATCAATTTAGAAATGATTTCGATAGTGTTTGAAATCCTTAATGTCAGACTATTAAGAAACTAACATGCACAAGAGATGATTATAGGATGTAAGAACACGTTATGCACGATGAATGCAAATGAAGATAACATTCAAAGTCGAGGTTTTGATTTAAAGTTAGGCGAACTATTGACGCACCAACATTCACACTTGTACTTATTTTGCAAGCATTTCAAAATTAAGGATAGCCCCCTTTAGATTGCAAATTTCCCCCCTGTAGTTATGAAAGTTTATTATTACAACAAGATAACTTAGAAAAACTCAAGTTCAAAAACTAATTATGGAAACTATCAATCACGGATCATGTAAGCTGAGTAGGAGGTGAACTCAACAGTATTTCCTGCCTCACAATTTCACAGGATTCCATACAAAAATCCCGACAAATTAATTTGTAAAATTAGTTCAAGAGCTAGCCAGAAGCTCTCAAGACCCCAAACTTTTGGCAACCATTTCAGAATCAGAAGAATCCCGCTCCAAATAATAATAAAAATAAACGAAAGAATGAATAAGTAGAAAAAGAAATTAAAAACCAGAGGAAACTCACATAAGTGTTGAGTTGGCGGATGAAGCTCGAGAAGTTATTATGCTTGAAATATCTCGGCAACAGAGCAGAAGCAAACATGTTAGCATCCCAAACTATGAAACTATTCCGAGTTCTGCTCCAAGCGACAACCTGATCGGTTCCCGGATCCTCGACCATCTCGAAGGTCTTCGTCAAGAACGGCGGCAGGTGCGGCCACGCCGTGTATGGCCGGCCATAAGGAGTGGGGCACCGCTCCACTTCCACCTCCTCCTTTACCGTGGCGAAGGATGCGTCCATGGCTAGAAGAAGAAGCTCACTGCTGAAGCTAGCTGGAGGAGACCGAAGAGAGCAGGAGGCGGTCGCGCTAGCTGGAGTTTTGGAATACAAGTGGGTGGGCTGGGCTCGTGACAAGTGGGGTTTTGGGGGACACGTGGGCGTGGGGATGAAAGTTTGGGTTGAGGGAGTTGGGAGTGAGAGTGGGAGGGGGGGTTTTAACTGGTTAAGTATAGAACAAGTGGCAATAAAGGGAATAGAAAGTTCTGGGAAGGATAAGGGAGGGAGTTCGGAGTGAGGAGATATTTTTGGGAGAAGGTTCTACTGTGGGACCCGGTATTGGTATATTTTGTTAGGTTGGTTCTAGAAAGTTCTCGTATGTCCCTAGAGTTTTGAGGAAGTGTCGCTCTTTGGATGGCTGAAAAAAATCTATTGTAAAAAACATATTTCTCATTGTAGTTTTTTTATTCTCTTCTTAAAACTTGAAAAAAAAAAGGATGGGATGAGGTAGGTTAACGCGATGCTACTGGATAGATGCTACTGGATAATGTGACTCATTTTTTATGGAAGCTCATTTTATTTTTTTTATTTTTTATTTTTTGACAAAATGGATAAAGATCATGTTGATGTTAATAATCAAACAGATAATAAAATGGGGGTGAGATTGATTAGGGGCTGCTAACTTCTCCGAATATCTGGTTTTGAGTAGGGTAGCTTCTCCCTGCACAAATAGCAATTCGTGAGAGAACGAGGACTAGTTCCCCCGTTGTTCCTCCGACGATTAAGTCAGTGATGGACTTGAGTGGGAAAGTAATGATCCGTGTGAGTTCTAGAATGCAGTGGAGTGGAAAAGAATGCTGAGAAATTGCTTAAGTTTTCTTAGAAGTTGCTTACCCTATTGCTGAGAATAGTACCCTTATTTATAGTGGTGACAAAGGGTAGAATGGTAATTCCGGCCGAGTATAGGATGGCGGTCCACATCAGCATCTGCTTTATAGGTGACAGTTGACGAGTGGAGGAGAGGTCACCTCAGTATTAAATGTCAATTGATTGGGGGTATAGCGGTGTCGATGTGGTCCGATGAGTAATAAAGATTATTCGGGGTATGGCGGTCCCGACATGGTCCGATGTGTCATAAGTAGTGCAGGAGATGGAGAAATGATGGCATCTACCAAGCATTTAATGTGACGTCGGCGCGTTGTCAGCGGGAGAGGCTTGACGAGGCTGAAGTCGTCCTCTGGCTCGTAGCAAGGGGCGTTGAGAAGTAACGCCTTTCAAGTCAACCCTGCACTATGTTGAATAACTGGTCAAGTGGGCTCCTAGCGAGTTGTCTTCGACAAGATGACCGACAAGTACCGCCCTTCGAGTCGATCTAAGGAGATGTCAACTCGACGAGTCGGCTAACTCGAGATTCTTGGTGGTCCTTACCATCAATCTGATTTGAGCGGTATATGTAGGGAGACACATGTTCGTAGCTAGCAAAGGGCTGCACTTTGGTGACTAGAAACACCATAACAGTTTGCCCCTTTCTCTTGGAGTCGACTTGGGCCAAGTCTGAGTGAAATGAGAGCAGCTTCGGACTGACGTGTATGTGCATTAAATGAGGGAACTGAAAAGTCTTTTTAAATTTTATGTGGCTGGCGTCACTACACATTCCTTTTGACTGGCACGGTTTCGCTTTTCGCGTCGGATTGTAGGGTTTTTGATGTTAGTGGCCTGCGTCTCGATCCTTGAGAGGTCGCTTTAGATTCTGATAATTAATCTTGGCCGTTGGACAAAGCATGATCCGACCGTTCAAATTATGATAGCTGTGGATTTAACTGCCAATATATAGAGCCATGGTCATAGAGATAGCGGTTATTGTCTTTTAAAATTCTCTTCTGAGAACTCGAGATCCTTCATGCCCATCTTTTTCCGACGATCATTTCTCCTTTCTAGGATGGTATCATATCTCGTAGACCGACGAGCTCTTATGGCAGAGTTCCACCCCAAAGTGACCCAGCACAGAAGAGGACGCTCCATGGGAGGTTTGATATCCCCCGAGAGTATGAGCTGATGGCCTCAACGAGGTCGGAGGCAGTCTATGACCATGTGTCCGATCGGGGTCCACTATGCTTGAAGCTCTTGGAGTTTGGCTTGCGGCTGCCCTTGCACCCTTTTCTTCAGCAAGTTTTCACGGCTCTAGGGGTATCGCCGGCCCAGAAGAAGTCGAACGCCATCGCAACCTTGGTGGGGTTCACGGTAATTTGTCATTGGTTTGTAAAAAAGCCATCTTTGCGAGTCTTAGGTCGTTTGGTGAGTGTGAAAGTGAACCAGACCGAGCCCCACTTCCATTTTTAAATAGTAGTGAAGTACAAGCTCATCACCCGCCTTCCTAACTCGAATAGGGATTCGAAGGAGAAATTTATCTGGGTTGTGGGGGACGACTTGGAGCTAGACTATTTGAACTGGCCCGAGATAAGGAAAACCTACTTTTCCAATATCTCAGAATTTATTTTGAACCAAACAAAGATTATGGAATGCATAAACTCAAAAAAAAAACCTACTTTTTCATCCTAGAATTTATAATCCACCCTATATCCCAAAAAAAAACCCTACTTCCATTCTCAGATGTTTTCTCAAAACTTTTTTATAAAATGGGTGAACTGTTGGCCCATTTGTTTTGATGATGATTTGCCAAACAATTTATAGCTAATTTGTTTCCTAGTGGTTGTGGCTTGTTTCTTTTTACAGGATATCTATATATGATGAAAAGTCATTCATGTCAGAGTTAAAGATTCAAGATCAAGTTGTGTGCGCAACCTCATAGGTATATTAGTAGTCTTGTAACGTATATTGTGTGAATATATTTCAAGCTCAATATATATATACACATAATTTTGATTTTTATTACAAAATGTGTTTATTTAGGAAAACAATGCAATATTGGTTTATTAACCTTGTTTACATTATTTTATAACATTTATAAAAATATTTCATAAAGTTTCCACATGTTCTTACATGTCAAACTTCATTTTCAAGATTCATGAAAAACAAGTATTATGTATATTTTTGCTAAACGTTGAGTTTTCACAAATACGAGGTCCTTTTGCAAAATTCCTTTTCAAACAAGTTTGTTATTATGTTTGTAAACTTTTCTCAAAGTTTCACATTTTTTAAAATTTATTTACTATTTTTTAAAGGCCTTTGAAATTCATTTTCATAATTCAAACAGGCTAAAAAACTATTATCAGTCGACTGATGCATATTATCAGTCAACTGACGAAACTAGCCAGAATTATTAAAAGTTTTTATTTTTTATTCAGTCAACTAATGAGGTCTTCAGTCGACTGATGAGCTGTTAGCTGCCTGTAACGATCAGCTTGTCAGTCGACTGATTCAGCTCATCAGTCGACCGACGTCTATAACGGCTAGTTTTCCAGTTTCCGTTATTTTTATCCTTTTGCTGGGATTTTATTCGTTTTGGGGCTTGTTCCATGTTCCTATATATACCCCATACCCTCTAACTTTTGTGGGTATCAAGAAAATTGTTTAATCAAGTTTTGGAAGAGTTTTGTTTGTGTTTAAGCATTGTTTTAAGTTTCGTTTCAAAAGAGGAGTTTTTCACAAGGAGGGAGCTTTTGATTTCAACTGAGGAATTCATCCTCATCATCATATCTACAGCTCCTTGTGTTTATAGAGAAGATTTCTAACGTTTTTATCTAGCTTATTTATTATTTTGATTTTCATATTCATATCTTAGCTAGTTTTATTTGAGTTAGAATTTTATTGTTCTTATTTATCACACACACTTTTATTGAGCTTATAATATTTCATATAATATATTATTGGGTAGTGGTTTGTGATTTAGTGAGAGTGAGCCTTATTGTGTTCTCATCCATATTAGAGAATAATTTATTATATTTGAGCTTTATTTGTGAGTATCACTTTTTAATACACAAGTACACCAAGAGGAGTGTACTGTGCGGACGTAGTCCATACCAAGAGGAGTGATGTCAGTAGTAAAGCCTAAGGAGAGATAGTAAAGTCGAGTACTTGAGCGAGGTGATATGTAAGGACCAACACTTGAGGTTGTAGTTTGTGTATGTACATTGTGAGTGACTTGTAGAGTTTTCGGTGAACTAGAAAACTAAGTATGTAGAGAAGTTTCGGTTTCCAAACCGGGTGTGTCGATATAGTGGAGATCTCCTCGAGGTGAGGAGCGGAGACGTAGGTCAAGGGTTGACCGAACTCCGTGATCATATATTGTGTTTGAGTTTGCGTTGTGTATATTTATTTTGTGCTTGTATTTTACATTCTTGCTCATAACTCATTCATATATCTTTTGCAAGAATCAATTAATCTAGAAAGTTTTTAACTGGTATAAAATCAGAATTAGATTAGCATTGATCCTATTCACCCCCCCCCCCCCCCCCCCCCCTCTAGGGTCCAATAATTGGTATCAGAGCTTGGTACTCTTTGATTTAAAGTTTAATCGCCTTGAGTTAAAGATCCAGGCCTTCATATTTTTGTTAATCTTGTTTTGATAAATATCATCTTGCTTGCATAATATATCATGGACATGCACGGTGCACCTAGCCTAGGTTATGCTGTTAACATTGCTTTTAGAATTAGTAATTTCCCATATGCACAATGGTATGTTAGATTTAAGCTTTTTGCTTGATCTAAAAATATTCATATTTGGGAAATTATTAATTGTGCCTATATTGTACCCACTATGGAGAAATCCGAGTGGAGTAATAATGATAATAGATTATTTGCTATGAACGAGTGTTTGTTAGAATCCTTAATTGATGCCTTCGGCTTATCTTTTGCTAAAAAACTTGATTTTTTTGATAGTGCATATACGTTGTGGAAATTAATAGAAACACATCAAGGGGACTTAGAGGTAATCCGACAAGCTTTGGAGGATTCTGCTTCAAGTTCAAAAGGAGCATCATCTTCATGTACACGTCCACTAGGCGATAGCCCTAGTGTTGTAAGCGAGCCTGATAACAATGATGATTTTACTTTTGATAAGCTCG